ACCGGTGATTAGGGGATGGTATTTTTCGCTCCTTGGCATCGAAAGCGAACGGGAACATCTTGATGGCAGGAAGCATGTACTTAGAAAATAAACAGTGATGCAGCCAATGAACTCTGGCAGGGTGGGGGGTGTCATTTTCGCTTATGCTGCTGTATACTGACACAAGGCCTTCCCCTGAGGTTTATGGCTGTGGGTTTAACGGCCGATTACTAGGAGGTTTAATACTGGGCGTCGGCCTCGGTGATTTAAGTGACATTTTACTTTTACTGTGAGCTGTGTGAGACATAAAATTAAAAGGAGGGTCCCAGGGGCTGTTGGGCTGTTATCTCCCATGACGGTAAATCTCTAATTGAAGAGCATCACGGAGTACACAAGGGTTTTATTGACATAATTGATACCTTGGTCTAAGGCTCTGTTTTCTGAACTGTGTCGCCGATTAAAGCAGCATTGTCTGGAAGCACCATCACTGGCGGACGATCGTCAGACACGGGGGAGCCGCCCCACACACGCCAGTTCGCACAAGTGCTTGCAGTCACATGACTAAAAAAACAGCACAGACTTCTGGGAGACACGGAGAAAACATCAAACGGTTAATCTGTTAAAATGCATCTGATTATTTTTATGCTTTGTTTTCCGAAATAAAATGTCAATATCCCCAATTTAAGTATTTTTTCAATATGTAGATATGTATGCTCTGTTTTGCACAACTCATATGAAATCTACAGTTTTGCGCAATACATTCTGATATTAGAACACAGACTCTGTATTTTCGGAATGAGTTTTCCCCCAATGATTTGCATTTATAATGCAGAATATCTGCACCTAATTCATGACAAATTACCAGACCTGTGAAACAGAATATTATAGCAACTTAGGAAATAAAACAATAAAAAACTAACAATTATTTGATTATTTTGATTTTGAATCTTCAGGTTATTGAATATTTAACTCCACAGACATACTATAGTGACATGAAGTATACCAAACTCCCTAACAACTTACTCTTATTGTAATTAAGCTATTAAGATAAGTACTAAGATGGTATTTTATTTTAATACTCAAATCCCCGCAAAGGCTTTCTTAAAACAGGCTGAAAAACAAGTTTGTGACAGTGATAATATTTAGGTTCTATGAGCAAAACTTGTTCCGTATTGATACAATAGAATAGAATAGAATAGAATGCCTTTTATTGTCATTGCACATTGTAATTTAGTGTGTCCCCTGAATAGTACATACAGTGTAATAAAAACACAGAATCTTCAGTTACAAATGCTCTGCACAAAAGGCTACACAAATAATCAAGAAAAACACAAGAATTAATATATACCAATAAAACACTGAAACTTTGTATGCAAATGTATGTACCAATGTATATAGTAGTATATTAGGAAGTATATAATAGCAGTTAGTGCAGCAGTTGTTGTTGGCAGAACTATTTTGTTAGTATAAAAATATTTTACAATATAACAAAAAAATCCATCCATCCTTACATCCATAGCTGCTTGTGCTATACAGGGTCATGTGGCTCCAAGGCCTATTCTGGAAGCTACGGATGCAAGGCAGGGAATAACCCAGGGT